AATATACCTAAAGCACAGCGATTGTAATAGATACAAGATAAATATATGTATATAGTGAATACATATGTATGTATAAAAAATGTTATGCCTGCATATATATATCTTGGGTTTAGGTTAAAAGCGTACATAAATGTGTGTATTTCGGCTTAAAAGTATTTTTTTTTTATCAAACCCCCTCGGCATAGTGAGAATATTTTGCCACCCAGCACTGCTATAGGATGCTGTGTAAGCTGGCTGAGCCATGCTCTCATATATGTAGCTTAGCAATCAGTTTAAGAGAAATTACCGTTTCGCTTCTCTTAGGCCAATACCATTCGCGTGCAGCCAACACGGCGTATGAGTGATGGCGTACACCCTGTGCCCTGATAGACGACTTCCTATTGTGTGCTCTCTTATTCAAATAAACTTTCGTGCTCATTATTCTAACCTTTTAATTTTGCTTAACGAAGGCTTTATATGATTAATATGCTCGCCAATGAAAAATAATTTACAGCAGCCAACAGTAAAGCACCAGCATCCCTTCTACCAAACAACCTCAAAATGTTTACAATACTCGTAGTGTCTCGTTCACCCTCTGCCTATGCGATATTTAATTTTGCTGTCGCTATATATAACAATACGAGGAGCGTAGTGAATTACTCATGACGTCATAGTAAACGCCATCACTTATGGAGCTCTCAAACGTATACATATAGGTTTATAGTTAAAAACGTATCTGCTTTTTTAGTTATGTCTGTAAAGTAGAGAGCCTTAGCTGCTGTGGGAGCGAACTATACGCAGAGATATGCTGGCTTATACATACATATATACCTATATATACATGGCTGCATGCTGCGGCTCAACAGAATTTATTACATTTCCTAAAGCTATAACCAACTGGATGCGGCTTATCTTTGACTGACGTTGTAACTATGGATCATAATGTAATATGGATAGATAACTAAAGGCTATGTAGGTACGCATGTGCATATGTATGTATGTAGTTAAACTAAAATATGTTCTTGCATATACAAAAATTGTTATTCGTCATACTAAAATGCTAAATTTTTTAACTTTTATTTTGATGTCATTTAGCCGTAAAATATAAATTGCCTATGGTGCTTATCGGAATGATACGCCACCTACATATTGACAAATTATGGCTACTACTTTTATTACTATTTAATTTTAATTTTTTTTATAAAAATATATTTTATTCTTTTACAAAAACCGTATAAACCGAAGTTTCAAACTGTGTGCAATTTAAAAAAAATCGTAAAAATTGTATGCTTTTAATTCGATTTCTTAGAAACATTTTGGGTATGCAGTTACATAGTCCATTAAAATTTACTTTAATTAAGTGTTCGCGTTTAGTAGCTAAGACTTACCGTTGACTTTTTTGTTTTTTGAAGAAAAATTGCAAAAAATCAAAAAAGTTAGTTGAATTCTTTTAAAGTATTGAACAAAGTTTAAAACTTGGATTTATATGGTTTTAAGTAAATAATAAACTTTGTTTACATAAAAATTGTAAATAGTAGATAATAAAAAATTTTTAACCAAAACCGGGCCATATGTGTGTCAGCAAAAAAAAAATATTAAAAACGGAATTTTCTGGCGTCTAGAAATTTAGGTTAAAGTAGCTACTAAAATTTAATGGGCTTTAAAACTGCATACCTAAAATTTTACTAAAAATTCTGCATAAAAATTTTAAAATTTGTTAGTGTAATTGTTAAAGGTGTTGAATTGGATTTATGTGATTCTGGCTATGCAATGTGCTAGACTTTTATAAAAAAAAATATACATTAAATAAACAAAAGAAAAATAGCCAAAACTGGTCAAAATGTCACCTAACTTATTCAGCTGACCGCAATGGTAGCTGCGTTGCACCACCAACCGAACCGCATGGCGTATACTCAACTTTTTGAATGCGTTATATTACTCGTAATTTGAAATACTTACATACATATGTACATATTAGTTGGTTATCAAGCAGAGTTTTGCCGGCACTGCAGTAGTGTTTCAAATACTATGTTTCAGATAGGATTACTTTATCAATTCCTGCTTAATTTGCGATTATTAATGTCCAGTTTAATAGGTTCAATGAAAGAAATAGAGCGGAAATAAAAACATTGCCAAATAGAAAAACAAAACAAAATAGATTGATAATGATAGATAATTTTTCACCACTGCACAGTGTCGTAGGCATTTACTCGTAATTTATATGATGAGAGAGTGTGTTCTATAAACAAAAAATTTAGTATAGTTGCTTGACATTGCTTGGTAGAACACACTACCTCTTTAATTAGGTTTTTCCAAACTATTTACGAATTTCGGGTTTACATTTTACTGGTGTCCCTTTCAAGGTACAAATCCATTAAAAGAATCCACGAAATCCAATGTACAGTTAACAACAAATTGGCAATTCCTCTTAAGTATTTGAACAAGTATAAAACCCGATCGATTTAACTGCCATAATCCGTGGAAAAAAAAGGAAACCAATCAACAACTCAGCATCTGCAACTACTTGAAACGCCAGGGCTGCTGAATTGCTAAAATGTCACATTTTTATGTGCGAATATCTGTGTGTTGTTCATTACTTTCATCCCACTATATATGTATGTATTTTCAATAGAAATACGCGATTTAATTGCATAAACTTGAATGCTATTTCCGTTGCTTGACACCCTGCCGTTACTGTAAGTGCCATTTCTACATAAATACTTTCACACATGTATATATGTACATATGAACATAAGTGTATGGATGTATTTTTAGCAACATATATGTATGTATGTTTATATAAGTATATGTGCCCCTTCTATATATATTCATAAAACATAGTTGCACCTCCACTTATCATCCTTTCCACTTGTCATTCGATATTTCAGCTTCACCCACGTAAGTAACTGCGACTACTCACAGACTTAATAGCTCACCTGCTCGGCTACCAAGCAACTAAATATACAGTAAATGTTGGTGTCTAGTATCTGTCAGCTCGTCACTTCATTTGTCATTTCAACACAGTTCCCGCCATCCCACCTGGTACGTACATGGCTGGCTCTTGTTGCCATCAACTTTTTATTAGCAATTTTTATACAAACAAAATTCTGCGCTGCTTCTGGTAGTGCACTCAATTTTATGTAATCTATACATAGATACCTAACTACATATGTTCGTAGTTTGGTGCAAATATTATTACAACGGTGAATTGGATACTTGCTAGGTGGTCTCATTCAAACATACATACGTACTTATGTATATTTATAAGCGAACACAGTTTATTTAAGTAGTAGTATTTATATAATATTTTTATCCATTACTGTTTTTTTTTATTAGCAGTTTTATTCATAGTAGTATCTGCTTATAATTACTTCCGTACCTAGAACTAAATTAAATAAAAATGCAATTATATATGCCAACGGAAGCCACATAAGTAAGGTAATCACAGTAGGCGTGTGGTTCACAGTATCTAAGGTTAAATTAAATTTGTACCAAGCCATTGCAATTTCGTATCACTTTTCCCCTTCTAAGCGAACCTGCAAAACAGGCTTGAGTGCAGAATGTGGCATATACGGTCTTTAAAGTTTCTTTAACCGATTTACTTTCAACGCTAATTTTCTTAAGACACCAAGCCGGAATAAATATACACTTAGCAGTATTGGAAGGCAGCAAACGATTAGGTTAAAGTGGCTGCCGGTATACACATCAGCACACTTAGGCCCTCAATCGAGCGCATACCGCAAGGAACCTCATTCACCTCCCCTCCTATACAAGCCAGTGTTTTTGCGGCGTTAACAAATTTGAGCAATCACCTTATCTTTATGCACGCTTTATCTCCCAGGTACCCCAAAGGTTTCAGCACCCATGCACTTCAGGCTCATCCCCCTCTCTACTCCACATTGCGCTTAACTACTAGCATATGTATCTTCAAAATTCAAAATTCGATCATTTTTTTCTGATATTTAGCATCATTTTGAATGGAAACGTAACACTGCTCGTCATAAGGGCGAGATTTATTACCCTAGGCATCTAAAAAAAGCAAATTTATTTCACACTTCCTACTTACCGTAAGCGTTGCACTTTTAGATTCACTAAAATTATTTTTTTTCTTTTCAACTTGATTTCACAAAAGCTTTGTTGTTATTGTAGTACTATTTAGTATTTCATTTATTTCTCATTACTTAACATTTATTTTCGTTTAGCATTGACACACTCAACGTACTCGTACGCGGTACGTCATTATAGCATTTCAATTCATTTCTATTTTAATGAATACAAAATTAAAATTTCTCTTTAAATGGAAAAATCTAAATTAAGCCAAAGTTAAAAAAAGGGTGAAGGAGTAAGCGCGCCGCCGGTCCCTACTTTTTTACATACTTATATATGTATGTATTTACCATGTCCAAAGGTATTTGCGACCCGCATGCATTGAACAAATTACTAAAGGCGCTTAATTACAAATACGCAAGAAAAGAGTGAGAGGCGTAAGCGCATAAACACTTATATACATACATACACAAGCGCATGCACATATAACTACATACATACATTCCTGTAGCGCAACGCTGCACATGGTAAATAAGTATGTACAGCTCCCACACCCGCACTAGCGAACCGCTGATGCTAACCTGCTTTGTGGATTGTTGGTTCGTTGGCTGGCTGGTTGGCTGGCTGGTTGGTTGGTTGGTTGGTTGGCAGTCAGCCCACTGCGTCATTTGGCCTAACGAACCGCGTCGAGTGAACGCAACCAGGCAAATGCACACCAACCAAGCACAGCTCGACACCAAAAAAGAACTCAAAAAGGTGCAAAAAAATCTAAAAAAAAACAAAAAAAAATTAACACTCAGCTCTACATAAATACCTCTACAATATGGCACTGAAGCGTTGGCAGCGGTGCAGGTAGTGGGTGTCAGACACTCGGTTTCAACGTAACAATGCCCACAACTGTGGGCATATGCCGGCTCGAAAATTGTCAGCGCACTGTGCAAAAGGATGTGGCATGCGGTGCGCGACGCAACGAGGCGCACACTTAATTAAGAACTCATGTTAATTGTAATTATTTGGCACATGAAAATTTTATTAATTTCCACCGCATCGCGATAAACAGTAGCGCGCGCGTGCATACACAAACTTAAGTACATGCAGCGGCAGCGTGATTGCAAATGGATGAGTTTGTATTTATGTATGTGTGTGTGTATTTGTGCCGTAATTTATTCGGAAGGACATACAGTTGAAGCTCGGTGAATGGTATTTGTTAACTTCGGTTACAATTTAAAGGTATTTGTTTTGGTAAAAAAAATGTTTTAAATTTAAAACTATATCAAAAGAATATTTATGTTAGTAAGGAATAATTTGGGCATCTGACTATGTCTTTCTTTCAGCTCTTCAAAATCTCCTCTATTTTAGGTGTTGTAGTTAGAAAAAATTTCAGTGGCCTTCTTCTCGACTATCTTTCTGCTCCTCCAATACCCTCGAGAAGCAAACTTCAACCGAAAGTTTTTCCGGAGGAGGTATATAGCCTGATTGTGCCCTCATTAGTAGCACATAGGTTTGTTCACTGATCATAGCAACATCTAAAATCCAAAATTCCTTGCTAACAGCAGCAAGATTTCGGTATAACTGTTCAATACAGAAATATTCAGTATTTCGAAGAAGTCTCCCCCAAACCCCTAGCATCGCTGCTAGCTACTAGCTTTTCAACCTGTGTCTATTTTCAAATATTCTGAACAAATTTGGGTTTTTCTTATGATATTTATCTAATTTTTTTACCACATCATCAATAAGAAAAACATACCCTTTCATCTTTTAGAAGAAGTATTATGATTAGCTCACATATCCAGTTTCTACTGTTTGTTCGTATAACTACTTTCTATACTATTCCGCAGTCAACTGAGAAGCGGATTTTTTTTTTCATTTTGTGTATGTATATCTCAAGGGTATAAGTATGTATGTAAATATATAAGTATGCAGCACTGTGTATGCGTTTACTTATCGAAACAACCAATGATGGACTACCCTGCGTATACGTAACCAATTTGTTTTGGGGCCTTTTGGGCTAAATTAAAATATTGCCAAACTGTTGAAAGATTGGTTGGCTAAAAGCACTCAAAATTCATTATTTCGAATAATTTCTATATTGTTGCAAGCTATCTATATAATATTTATATGTAGAAAAATATTGAACGCAGATTCATTGATAAAAACGTGGCGTGGAATGGTGCATAGTAGGGCTTCTGGGTATGCAGTTACTGTTGCACGACTATACCCATTTCCTACTGTTGCCTCAACATTCCAACTCATTTGGAACTTTATTCGGTTTAAGGTTCTATTTTACATCCAGCATTGCATGGAATAATCAACGTAGAAAAGCTGCAACCACAGCAGCCAGCTTGTATATTCGGCACTCGACTCTCAGAGGCCCGTGGAACAGTATTTACCGCGATGAGGAATTCCATGAAGAAACAGAAAACAATTCCACGTTCAAGATCTTGCTCCTGCTGGAAAACTACGCTGGCGAAAATTTTTTGGAAGCCAAACTCGGAGACCTAGTCTGACGTCAGGGTATATATAAATTATGGAAGAGCGCGTGTGGAAAAGGACTTGGGTTAAGTTGATATATCCAATTGGACTCCGTTGGCTTAAAAGAGAAACAACAGACCATGTTAGACCAGGTCAACATCGCTTAGGCGCCTACAATAACAAACAAGAGCAAAAATAAGAAATAAAATGCGGATTGCAGAGCAGATGTATCAACAAAACGAAAGCTTGCTTCTGAGATTAAATTTTTACTGAGTGGTCTGGAGAAGCTCTTCCATGTGCTTTGCTTGTGGTGGTGGTGAATTTTCAATCCTTTATACTCTATTTCAATCCTTCGTGCTTTATTTCTTTTGAAAATAGTCTAATGAAATTTTTTTTATTTAAAAAAAAATTAAATCAAGCAAATTTCCCTAGTGATTGCTAGACGGCTTTGATGCAATCGATTTGTGTGATTTCATTGTCTGCAATGCAGTATATTTTAGATTTATATACATATATAGGATTGTATGTTACCAAAGCACAGCTATTTTATTTTATTGATTGACAGCAAAGTGATTTCATTTTTCCCTTTCTTAATTACGAACTTACCTTTAACTAGCTCTGATTTTTGTTTTCACTACAATATAGTTTGCATTGTGCCATTTTTTTATTGTCATACCAGAAATGGCACTCGCCCGCTCGCCATCAATGTTGTCATTATAATCACGATTTGTTTTTGTTTTTACTTGTTTTTGTAATCGTCGTTAGTCGTTTTGTTTGTAGAGGTATTTGTAACTACCATCATTGTTATTGTCATTATTTGCTTGCTGTTATTATTATTGTTTACTTTTTTTTTTGGTTTTGTTTGTTGTTGGAAGCGCATTTCATTTCATTTGCAGTAGTTGTTGTGGAAATTGTGACATTAGCGGAAATGAGATTTTGCAATTGCATTTAAACACAAAAACACGCACGCGTCACATGCACGCACACTCACGCACACACACGCGCGCAGTCACTTATACGCGCGAAAGCCAAGAATGGAAATGCAAGTAGTTAGTGCATTCCTGTACTGTCTCTATATGTATGTATGTGTTAATGTGTGCGTGGAGGGGGCGGTTGCATGTGTACGTATAGCGCAGTATCAGTCTGAGTGTGTTAAATTAAGCGCACTTTATTTTGCTATTTGTGCTGCCCTATCGGCACGAACGAGATGCTCCACCAAGCGTATAACCAACATTTGTCTCTTCGGTCGTGTACACATACAAACATATGTATACAAATGTGTGTGTATGTATGCGTTAACTGATTAACAATTTTGTTGTGTAAATGCAACACAAACTATTAGGCTCGTTTTCCGAAAAGCCAGTTAGCCTGACGAACTCCGCACATCATAGCTTATTTTGTTTAACGAGTCTTTATATGGAGTTGTATATTTGTGTATGTACATATCGGTGTATGGTTTATCGCTAAATACTTTCTTAGTCTAAACCCGATTAAATTTTCACCAGTTTAAAATTGGCCAATATGCTAAACATGTTCCCTTATTTTCCACTAATTGAAAAAATTAAAATTTTTATGTTGTTTCTATTGGCCGTTACGTTTATGTTAAGTAATATGTTTACTCTTTCTTCTGAGGTCAAGGCTATATATAAATCAAACACAATAAATAAATCAAAAAGTAAATTTTTCTGAACTGGAGTATTTCCACATTCCACCCAATGATTTCAAGCAAATATATCTCTCTTCGTGTTCGGTTAAATACTCGGAGAGGCAGACTATCTGCTTACACTCAGAATAACATCAGCTAAATATATTTCTCTCAACACATGATTTTGTATTTCATGTATTGAGCGAAGCATATTTACTTGACGACAGTAAACTTTTTTCTCAGTGTATAAGAAGAGTGACTTTTCGGGATCGTTAATAAAAGAGACTACCACGCCTACAGTAAGGGCAGTTCAATTAATCCCGCTCTGCACATAATCGAAAAGTGACTTAAGGAAGCGCCCTTCTTCACATTTAGGGAACTTTTGTTTGTAAGCTTTGAGTTAAAACGAAACTAGTTGGTCTTATCCCCAAAGTTGCATTAGAGTGAAGCAGTACCACCATACCGGGCAGGGGTACTTAGTATGGTTGTTTCCTCTTACCGATATGCTACAGGGCAGGGACCGCAGGATGTGGAGCCCTGGATATCTTATATAACTGAATGTGACGATTAAGTGAGCTTTAAACAGAGGGCTCGGCGTAAATCATAGTAGGACGGTAGACTGTGTAGGTGAGTCTCTCGTAGAGCTAACGAGAGTTTTGTCTAAGTCTAACACATACATTTTCTCCATCGTGTACTTGGCTTTATATTAGGGGCATTCGCCTGTGCTTTCTGATAGAGCCAATTAGTTGATTTCAATTCAAGACAGAAATCTGTAGTCAAATTTCAACGCTTAGGAGGGAAATGTGGCGTTATTTCACAAATTTATTACGTTTAGTTGCCTTACTTAATGCCATAAGGTTCTATGAAGTATAGGTAGAAAGCGCTAGAGAGACTAAGTTAGAAGTATACAGGTCACTCTTACTCTAGCTCTTAATATCGTGTTTAATTTAGCCTTTTATACTCGCTTTCCCTCAAAATATGAGTGAGTGGAAGGCAGCAGTTTGAAGGAAGATTCAGAGAAAGAAAGACAATTTTATTATATGGCAGTTGAGAAGTGCATGTGCAAAAATTTCCTAAATTTGATGAAGAATATTTTCGCACATGCAACAGTACATAGCGTGCATTTAGGCGCCCGGTGTTAGCAGACGCGCCCAAAACAAGTACCTTTGATAACGTGTGAACTACCTTTACCCAACTGGACAAAAATCAGGGTATTTGCAAACGCAATATGGCCTAGAGGCGGTCAAGCTGATTTCACCAGATACAAATCTGTGAGATTGAAACTTGCACGGTCATTTTCAGATTGACATCATCGCAAAAGTTTCTCTTAAGTGGACTAGCTCCTACAAGATCTTAATCTTAATACAAAATATATATGTATGATACCAAATATATATTGATACAAAACATAATATGTACTTGGCACAGTGTCTAAGAAGCCTAGGGAACTAAATCGAAAATCAAGCAGAAAAAACAACCTTTTGCCTAAATTTTGGTCCAGTTAAATCCACTTGATCAAAATTGTTTACGAACCCAAGGTACCTTGATTTC